CAAAAGAAACAAATCCATCATTAAGACGTTTTTAACTTTAAACCGTTACTTCCAGCTAAAATATGAGTCCTCTAGCCATAATAACGCTTCCAGTGAAAAAAGTCATGTCATTTTAATTAGAAGAGAAATTTGCACAGATCAAGCACCGTTTACGAGCCAAAACAGCTCTAAACAAATGTGTGTGGATTTTGATGTGAGAGACAACAGGAGATGGACTTTTCACTGGAGGAAGCGTTGTTATGGATTATGGGCTCATATTTTAGCAACAGTTTAAAGTTAAAAATACCTTAATGATGGATTTGTTCAGCTTTTGTCTTCTCCAGATGTTAACTGATGGGCTGGAGTGGTGTGGATTACTTGTGCATTATTGTGATGTTTTTATCAGCTGTTTGGACTCTCATTCTGACGGCACCCATTCACTGCAGAGCATCCATTGCTGAGCAAGTGATGCAATGCTACATTTCTCCAAATCTGATGAAGAAACAAACTCATCTACATCTGGTATGACCTGAGGGTGAAGACATTTTCAGCCAATTTTCATTTTTAATTCATGTGAATACCTATTTCTGATTGTGTGCATGTTACAGAAAATCTTGTCTTCATAATCTTACATCAAAGATGTAAAATAAAATTACATTACGCAAGTATAAGTGGTTGCAAATGGCATCTTAGTTGCTGTATTTATGCTTTCACAGAAATAAAAGGGAACGTTGGATTCATTGATGTACTCTATTATGGGTGTGACGGTCTATTCAGTGTTTGCACATCTTTCCGATTGAATCAAATATTTATGAGCATCATTTAGCAATGGATCTGAATGGTGGCGCCGATCAATCATTTGGCCCCTCAAGTGGCATGAAGACAATTCAAGCTCTAATATTACTCATTGAACCGTCACTGAAATTAGCGAAGGCTTCCGGAGCTCTGATGGATTTAGACTCTGTAATAGCGTGCTTTTCCTCTGGGTGTGTTGTGGGCATGTTGTTTTTTGAGTCACATCCGGAACTGATAAAACATTTGATTGTTCTTGATGAAAAACCATCGGGTGTCTTTTTTCCATTTGTTGTCGGTGACGTGTTCATGTGCACTTTGGGATTTCACTCGTCCTCATGCAAACATCCAGACGTGTTCAGCGGTGGGAGTGATTTTACCCTTGAATATGTTTGTTCAATTTGTCTGATTACATTTGTCTGCTGTGGCACGGATTGCACTTGCACATGATACGCATTTCATGTTAATATTAATATATCTTTCATTTTTTTGTTTAGTTTTGTATATTTAAAAAAAGTATATTAGTATATTTAAAAAAGAGTCCAATGTAAAATCTCGGTCATGAAGTCATTTCAATAAAAGCAAAATTAATTAAAATTTTTAAAAATTAAATTAATTTAAATACATTTTTTAATACTTTAGATTTTTCTGTTATTTTTGTATGATTAAAAAAAGTGTTGTGCCCAATGTAAAATCTGTATCCTGAAGTAATTTCAGTAAAAGCATTATTTATTTATTTATTTAAATACATTGAATTTTTCAGTTATTTGTGTATGATAAAAAGTGGTGTGTCCAATGTAAAATCGGATCTTAAAGTAATTTTAATAAAAACAAAATTTAGGTGGATTTTTATTGGTTTATGTATACTTTTCTTTTTTTTTCTATGACAAAAAACAAAACAAAAAAACATTTGTATTAAATGTCAAATCTGGGTCCTGAATTTAGTTAAACGAAAGCACATTTTAATTTTTTTTTTATTTTTTTTATTTAATACATTACTTTTTTTTTTTATTGCTTTTACATGATAAAAAAGTGTTGTGTCCAATGTAAAATGTGAGTCCTGAAGTAAATATTACAAAAGCAAAATGTAGGTAGAATTTATTTGTTTTTTATTTAGTTATTTATTTATTTTAATATATTTCTTTATTTACTTACATATTTATTTTAATATTAATACATTTAATTTTTCTAATTATTTTTGTATGATAAAAAAGTATATGAAATGAACTTCTAATGTTTTAATGTAAAACCTTGGTCTTGAAGCAATTTCAATAAAAGCAATAATTATGTAGAATTAATTAAGTTATTTGTTTACAAACACACACACACACATATTCATTTTTCATTTTTACTGTATTGAAATTGTTAACTTGTTAGATTTTTTCCATCTGTTGTCGGTGACGTGTTCATGTGCTCTTTGGGATTTCACTCGTTTGCTGGCTCGTTCTCAATCATCCAGATGTGTTCAGCAGTGGGAGTGTTTTTCAGGCTTGATTATATTTGTTAAAGCATTGGTTCTGCTGCGGTGCGGATGGCTCTCACACATCAGCGCTTGATTGGAGAGTCGTTGCGTTGGCTTTAATTAGCCGCTGACAGCTGAAAGCCGAACACACACCTGTTGCACAGCTGCATGAGCTGCCGAGAGAAACACTTGTTGAACGACACGACAGATGAAAGATCTGCTCCAAAACCAGAGAGGCTTCCTACCTGATGAACACTTTCAGCTACAGACGCAAAGGCTCTTTTGGCTGAAAATCGGCTCCACATTGCAGCTCATTCTGGCCAACAAACGCCCACACAGACAGGAACAGAGCATCTGACCGGCGCGCAAACAACCAGCCAGACTTATTTCATTTTTACAGTCCAGGTTTACATGAAACAATTAGCATGGGCATATGCATTTCATATTTCATATTTGATTATTTTTGTATGTAAAAAAAAAAAAATTATATAATGTAAAATTGGGGTCTTGAAGTGATTTCAATAAAAGCTAAATTGAGATAGAATGTATTTATTTATTTGTTTAAATAGATTTAATTTTTTGCTCATTTTATATGATAAAAAAAGTGTTGTGTCCAATGTAAAATCTGCGTTCTGAAGTAATTTCAGTCATTCATTCATTCATTCATTCACTTCAGAGAAAAACAATTGAGAGTTAATTTAATAAAAAAAAAATAGAATTGCATGTTTCATTCATTCATTCATCCATTCATTTATACATACTTTTATGTATTTTTTTTATTTTTAGCTATATTTATTTTGCTATATTTTTTATCTGTTTATTTATTTGTTAATTTTATTTTCATTTATTAATATGTTTATCTATCTAGCTGTTTATTCATCCATCCACCCATCTGTCCACTATTTATTTATTAATTAATTAATTAACTGATTGATTGATTGATTCATTCATTCATTCATTCATTCATTCATAATTGCTATATTTTTTTCCATCTATATTTATTTGTTTATTTTCTTTTTGTTCCTTTATATATTCATCTACCATTATTTATTTATTTATTTATTTATTTATTTTAATACATTTTATTATTACATTTTGGTTATTTTTGTGTGATAAAAAAAGTGTTGCGCCCAAGCGTTCTGAAGTAATTTTAAAAATCTATATATTTTTTTTTATTTATATATTTATCTACTTTTCTGTATATCCATCTATCCATTATTTATTTATATTAATGCATTTCATTTTTGTGTGATTAAAAAAGTGAGTCCTAAAGTAATTTTAATAAAAGTAATATTTAATGAATTAGTTTGTTTGTTTGTGTATTTTAGATGAAAACAATCGAGTGTTAATTTCAATACAAATTAGCTTCAATTTTATGTGTTATTTATTTATACATTTATCTATCTATCTATCTATCTATCTATCATCTATCTATCATCTATCAATCTATCTATCTATCTATCTATCTATCATCAAATCTGTCCATTGTTTGATTATATTAATACATTATATTTCAATGTAAAATGCTGGTCCTGAAATAAATTCAATAAAAGCAAAAAATATTTAAATATGAATGGTTTCTCTTGTATGATATAAAAGTGTTGTGTCCAGTGTGGGTGCTGAAGTTGAACTGGCTGATGCTTTAGATGTTGTTTCTTCATCAGCAGCAGCAGCAGCAGGTGTTTTTAGCATCCAAATAAAAGCGCTCATGGGAAGCGGTTGTGGGCGAGATCACAGCGGTCTTAAAGAGGCTTTACAGGCTTATTCTGCCGTGTTTTACGGCTTCATTCCTGCGCTTTTCCCTCAGGAAGCGAAGCTGCGGGAGCTGCTGGATGTGGGGAATCTGGTGGGCCGGATAGAGAACCGGATGCTGACGGTGGTGACGGGGCCAGACATGGTCAACATCCAGTACCTGAACTTCATGGCCTTCCAAGAAGACGTCGCCAAGGTGTTTTACTGCCTCTGAACATTTCATTAGATCAGCGGAGCGTGGCAGATATTTCTGGCAGTGAGATACTTGTGCAGCATAAATCCTAGTCAGGATACTTGACCTGAATTGTTTTAATGAAAATGGCTTTTGTGTTTGTGCGTCGTCATTGATGAAGGAGTGGGCAGATGAGCTCTTCAGTCTGGCGTCTAACCTGCTCGCTCAAAACATGGGCCGAGAGTCCTGTCTGGAGAAAGCGTGAGTACCTGATGATTATATTTACCTGCTTCCGTCAGGAGGCCGTTCACACCTCAGTCACATGATTTTGTTCTATTAAAAGTTTTTAAATGTGTTTATGACTCATTGTCAGGAAACAGTACCAGATTTAGAAGAATATACGGTAACACTTCACTGAAAGCCTTGTATAATGTCTAATGCATTGCAAGGTATTAATAATGTACTGTGTGTTGTATATAAATAATTGTAACCAAAGTTAAAATGCATTTTAATATATGAAGGTGTGTTTGTCATGCGTTTTAATGCATTGTACTTTATAAAGGTGTGACAATTTAAAAAAGTATTACAATGTATTCATGAGTTATTCATGAGATCATACAGTGCATTATAAGGTGCATTACAAGGCATAGTTAATGCATTAAAACTACATTTATAATGCATTATGTATAAAAGCTTTAAGTAAAGTGTTACAGAATATGTTTTATTAATTAATTAATTAATATTATTTAATTCGTTAATTAGCTAATTAATATTGTTTAATTAATTAATTGGTACTTTAATTTTTTTATATTTATTTATTTATTTGTTTGTTTGTTTGTTTTTTGTGAACTAACCCTTTAAAACAGGCAAATTAATTTTAATTGGAAAACAATAGTGTTAATTTCAATAAAATACAAATTTAGAATTTAATTTTTTTGTTTGATTGTCTATTTTTAATCTTTTATCTGTTTTTATCTTTTATCTGTGTATTTTTACCTAATTATCTGAAGTCATTTTAAGTAATAAAATATTAATCAATCAATCAATCAATTAATTAATATCAATATATTTATTTTTCTTTCTTTCTTTTATTATATTTTTGATTATTTGGTTATTTTTGGATGATAAAAACGTTTTGTGTTCAATGTAAAATCTGTGTCCCTAAGTAACTTAGTATTTATTTAGTTAGTATATACTTTTTAAAATCGAATTATATATTTTTATATTTATATCAACTTATTTTGTTTTTGTGTTTGTTATCTTATTTAGCATTTTGTCTATTTTTATGCATTTATAAATTTCTTTTTATTGCTTCATCTTTTTTATTTTCTATTTTTAATTTGTGTATTTCTTATCTATTTATTTTATCTAATTATTTATCTTTTATCAATTTGTTTTATCTGTTTGTTTGTCTGTCTATATTTATCTATTTATTCATTTATTGAATTATTAGTGTGCTGGTGATGAATGGGAATAAATATTGTGTGTATATTTCTATATCTGTATCTACAAACACAATCAGTCAGTCATGGAGACACAGTTTCCTGAGAATGGCTGATCTAGTTTTTCCATGAAATTGTTTTATGACCAGCTTCACGAGACTCAAGCTGCAGACGAATCAAGAGGGTCGAATCCCAGTGAAAAAGTAAGACTCAGCTCTGTCTCACATGATGCAGCAGAACGTGATCAGATCTGAATGCTCCTCATGTTTCGCTCTCTTTCTGCAGCATCTTCCGCTTGTTCTCAATCGAGTGTTAATTTCAATACAAATTAGCTTCGATTTTATGTGTTATTTATTTATACATTTATCTATCTATCTATCTATCTATCTATCATCTATCTATCATCTATCAATCTATCTATCTATCTATCTATCTATCATCAAATCTGTCCATTGTTTGATTATATTAATACATTATATTTCAATGTAAAATGCTGGTCCTGAAATAATTTCAATAAAAGCAAAAAATATTTAAATATGAATGGTTTCTCTTGTATGATATAAAAGTGTTGTGTCCAGTGTGGGTGCTGAAGTTGAACTGGCTGATGCTTTAGATGTTGTTTCTTCATCAGCAGCAGCAGCAGCAGGTGTTTTTAGCATCCAAATAAAAGCGCTCATGGGAAGCGGTTGTGGGCGAGATCACAGCGGTCTTAAAGAGGCTTTACAGGCTTATTCTGCCGTGTTTTACGGCTTCATTCCTGCGCTTTTCCCTCAGGAAGCGAAGCTGCGGGAGCTGCTGGATGTGGGGAATCTGGTGGGCCGGATAGAGAACCGGATGCTGACGGTGGTGACGGGGCCAGACATGGTCAACATCCAGTACCTGAACTTCATGGCCTTCCAAGAAGACGTCGCCAAGGTGTTTTACTGCCTCTGAACATTTCATTAGATCAGCGGAGCGTGGCAGATATTTCTGGCAGTGAGATACTTGTGCAGCATAAATCCTAGTCAGGATACTTGACCTGAATTGTTTTAATGAAAATGGCTTTTGTGTTTGTGCGTCGTCATTGATGAAGGAGTGGGCAGATGAGCTCTTCAGTCTGGCGTCTAACCTGCTCGCTCAAAACATGGGCCGAGAGTCCTGTCTGGAGAAAGCGTGAGTACCTGATGATTATATTTACCTGCTTCCGTCAGGAGGCCGTTCACACCTCAGTCACATGATTTTGTTCTATTAAAAGTTTTTAAATGTGTTTATGACTCATTGTCAGGAAACAGTACCAGATTTAGAAGAATATACGGTAACACTTCACTGAAAGCCTTGTATAATGTCTAATGCATTGCAAGGTATTAATAATGTACTGTGTGTTGTATATAAATAATTGTAACCAAAGTTAAAATGCATTTTAATATATGAAGGTGTGTTTGTCATGCGTTTTAATGCATTGTACTTTATAAAGGTGTGACAATTTAAAAAAGTATTACAATGTATTCATGAGTTATTCATGAGATCATACAGTGCATTATAAGGTGCATTACAAGGCATAGTTAATGCATTAAAACTACATTTATAATGCATTATGTATAAAAGCTTTAAGTAAAGTGTTACAGAATATGTTTTATTAATTAATTAATTAATATTATTTAATTCGTTAATTAGCTAATTAATATTGTTTAATTAATTAATTGGTACTTTAATTTTTTTATATTTATTTATTTATTTGTTTGTTTGTTTGTTTTTTGTGAACTAACCCTTTAAAACAGGCAAATTAATTTTAATTGGAAAACAATAGTGTTAATTTCAATAAAATACAAATTTAGAATTTAATTTTTTTGTTTGATTGTCTATTTTTAATCTTTTATCTGTTTTTATCTTTTATCTGTGTATTTTTACCTAATTATCTGAAGTCATTTTAAGTAATAAAATATTAATCAATCAATCAATCAATTAATTAATATCAATATATTTATTTTTCTTTCTTTCTTTTATTATATTTTTGATTATTTGGTTATTTTTGGATGATAAAAACGTTTTGTGTTCAATGTAAAATCTGTGTCCCTAAGTAACTTAGTATTTATTTAGTTAGTATATACTTTTTAAAATCGAATTATATATTTTTATATTTATATCAACTTATTTTGTTTTTGTGTTTGTTATCTTATTTAGCATTTTGTCTATTTTTATGCATTTATAAATTTCTTTTTATTGCTTCATCTTTTTTATTTTCTATTTTTAATTTGTGTATTTCTTATCTATTTATTTTATCTAATTATTTATCTTTTATCAATTTGTTTTATCTGTTTGTTTGTCTGTCTATATTTATCTATTTATTCATTTATTGAATTATTAGTGTGCTGGTGATGAATGGGAATAAATATTGTGTGTATATTTCTATATCTGTATCTACAAACACAATCAGTCAGTCATGGAGACACAGTTTCCTGAGAATGGCTGATCTAGTTTTTCCATGAAATTGTTTTATGACCAGCTTCACGAGACTCAAGCTGCAGACGAATCAAGAGGGTCGAATCCCAGTGAAAAAGTAAGACTCAGCTCTGTCTCACATGATGCAGCAGAACGTGATCAGATCTGAATGCTCCTCATGTTTCGCTCTCTTTCTGCAGCATCTTCCGCTTGTTCTCGACCGACCGGAAGCGTGTGGAGACGGCGCTGGAGAGCTGCAATCTTCCGGCCGGCCGGGTGAGCATATGTTCGGCTAATCGCTCCAGAATCCCGCTGGCAGACAGGAAGACCTCATGTTTCCACAGGAAGTCAATTTGTGGGTTTTACCAAAAACATGTGCTTTCGGATCGAGGCACGCCGCCTGATAAATGACTCCAGAATCAAAGGGAGTCTGTTTGTTTGCCTTATTGTTTTATGGCAAATGTAAAGGTTGAACATTGGACACAGAGATTTTCTCAAAATCCATAATGTTAAAAGGCCTCAGGAGGAAACAAAGTGTGTAACTAATCAGAAATATGGTGTTATTCTGGCTGGCCTCCGCCTTTGCCTTTTTTTTTTCAGTTTTTGTTTATTTAATCTTCTACTTCTCTATTATTTATCTTTTATTTATGTATTTGTTTTTATCTGTTATTTTATTTATTTGTTTGTTCATAGTTTTATGCATATATTTATTATACATTGTTTTTTATCTGTTTTTATTTGTATCTATTTTTTTTTATTTGTCTGTTTATTTATCTGTTTATTTATTTATTTGTTTGTTTGTTTATTTGTTTATTTATTATCTGTTATTTTATTTATTCCTACTCTTATTTATGTTTATTTTTATATTTTTTATTTTAATTAATTTATTTATTTATACATTTTTATCCATTTATTTATTTATTTATACATTGTTTTGATCTATTCATCTGATTTTTTTATGTTTATTTATTTGTCTTATTTGTCTATTTATCTTTTTTATCTGTTTATTTTTATCTGTTTTGTTTTGTTTTGTTTTATTATTTTATTTTATTTAGTTTTTTTCAATTTTTATCCATATTCATTAATTAATTAATTTATTTATTTATTTTTACATGTGTACTTTTTATTTATTTTATACATATTTTGTATTTATTTATAAATGTTTAACAGTGTTTAATTAATTTATTTATTTGTCTATTTTTTCTGTTTATTTATCTTTTATTTATTTATTTTTATTTATCTTTTTATCTATCTATCTATCTATCTATCTATCTATCGTTTATTTATTTATACATACTTTGGTTTATCTTTTTATCTCTTTTTTTCTGCTTTTTCACTTCCAGGATCAAAGGTAGTCTATTTGTTTACCTTATCGTTTTACAGCAAATCTAAAGGTTGAATGTTGAAGACAGGGAGATTTTCTAAATCCATAATGTTAAAAGGCCTCGAGAGAGTCGTGAGGGAGAAAGTGTGTAACTAGTGAGAAATCATCACGGCCTCCGCCTCTGACTCACTCACTCACATCCTTTCATCTGTTTTTTCTTCTTTGTTTGGCATTAATCAGCCGCGGGCGCTGGATGCTTTGAATGTTTACTGTGGGAGATGAACGTCTGACAGCATGTGGATGACATTGAGTAATGTTTGCTCTCCGACAGCGTTGTCCATTATTGGGATTGACGTAACAAAACAGTTGATTCTTTGTCGGCTGAACTAGGTTCTTAGGATGCAATTAGCTAATTAATTTTGAGGCAAGCTTAAATATTTTTGTTTTATTCATATGAGGCCACTTGTTAGTAAAAGCAGGTTTAGCTTCTCTATTTTTGGTGATTAATTGCTGGCGTGAGACTGAAGACTCGTTGTTATTGTTATATGTTATATGTTGTATAATAAATACATGAATATGTATTTCATACTTTGGTTACACTTTATTTTACAGTACGTGTACTTACAGTGTACTTACTCAAGAAAGTACTGGGTAGTATAAGGTAACTACATGGGGTAAGGTTAGATTTTGGGGTAGGTTCAGGGTTAGAACCTAATTATTACCCAGTTTACTGTGGGAGATGAACGTCTGACAGCATGTGGATGACATTGAGTAATGTTTGCTCTCCGACAGCGTTGTCCATTATTGGGATTGACGTAATAAAACAGTTGATTCTTTGTCAGCTGAACTAGGTTCTTAGGATGCAATTAGCTAATTAATTTTGAGGCAAGCTTAAATATGTTTGTTTTTATTCATATGAGGCCACTTGTTAGTAAAAGCAGGTTTAGCTTCTCTATTTTTGGTGATTAATTGCTAGCGTGAGACTGAAGACTCGTTGTTATTGTTATATGTTATATGTTGTATAATAAATGCATGAATATGTATTTCATACTTTGGTTACACTTTATTTTACAGTACGTGTACTTACAGTGTACTTACTCAAGAAAGTACTGGGTAGTATAAGGTAACTACATGGGGTAAGGTTAGATTTTGGGGTAGGTTCAGGGTTAGAACCTAATTATTACCCATTTATTGTAATTACGGAACAGGAGGGTAAAATAAAGTGCTAGCCATAATTTGATTGTCTGTTCTTGTTCGTCTCTGCAGAACGACTCCATCCCTTTGGAGGATTTGACACCTGATGTTTACAAATCGTTCATCAACAACCTCTGCCCGCGATCTGAGATTAACCAAATATTTGCTGATCTGTAAGTCTTTATGGAGCCATTTTCAGCTGATGCTATAGATAAGAAGGCCTTCAATAAAAGAAAAAAAATTATTTATTTATTTATTTATTTATCCGTTTATCCATTTATCTATTTATACTTTATTTATGCATTTATTTATGTATTATTTGTATCTATTTATGTGTTTTTATGATTTATATGTTTTTATCTATTTCTTTATTTTTCTAATTTTTAAATTGATTTATCCTTTATTTATTATACTTTTACAATTTTTTTTGCTTTTTTTTTATCTGGTTTTATTTATTTATACAATTAATTATTTATACATTGTTGTATGTATGTATCTGTTTTTTCTGTTTTCATCCATGTATTTATTTGTCTAATTTTTTAAATGTATTTATTTATTTATACATTTATTTATCTGTTTATTATTATTTATTTTTTTTAA